GTAAAGGGATGGCTCTTCATTGTCATGTTTTTGTCCTCATTTTGGGGGTTGAAGAACTTTATGAATGATGATAAAAGAAGACACTATTAATGTTTTATCAAAATCTAACTTTTATCAACCCTATCCAACGTTGAATGCATTTTACTAATGACTGAAATCCAAATCTGGGAAATGATGCAATGGAGCAACTTCTTACCCAATGCAGGATCATCCTTCCCATATTGGAAGTTCACTACTTTTCCAGGAATCATGACTCAATTTTCAATGGTTCTTTTTTTTTTTCTCCCCTCCAGGGTTGGGGTTGGAACCAAGGATCTCATGCATGCCGGGAAACTCTCTACCATTGAACCACATTCCCAGCCCATTTGATAATTCTTATTGCCAGAGTATTCCTTCTTCTGTTCAACTAAAGATTAGCCTTCTCTAAGGTCCTCAGTTAGTCTCAATCTTACCTTTTAGAATAGTGCAGTCCCTCATTCACATAGTTTCTTCAAATATTTGGAGAACTACCATGAGAAAGAGGGAACACATTGCTTTAGTCAATACAGTTAGGACCAATGGGTAATATTAGAGAAGGACAAATGAAGATACCCCTGTAGTTACTTCTACCATGTTTTCTACCTCACAGACTCCTAATAATGAAAGCAATAATAATAGCGGGCATTTAGTGAACGCTTATTCTGTATGAGGTTCTCACTATTATAAGCATCTTAAATTATATGAAGTCATTCAATTCTTAACAACCACTCTAGGAAGTACAACTTTTTTCTTTTTATTTTGTGTGTGTGTTGCTGGAAATTGAATCGCGGGCCTGTGCTTGCTAGGCAAGTGCTCTACCACTGAACTATACCCCCAGCCCGGAAGTGAACTTTCATTAGGCCTATTTTACAGATGAAAAACTAAGGCAAGGAGGAGTAAAGGAGCTTGTCCTTGGTCAAGATGGGCCTGTACAATATGATTCCAGATCTTACACTTTTAACCACTAGAATTTACACACAATTTAACAACTGGACAGCTTCTCCACCTCACTTTTCTACTCATTGCTCTCAAATATGTCAGAACTGCATGTAGAACTAATATGGGTTGACAAGTCCAAAGTGGGGGAGATCATCCATGCCCTCAATTTGGACACTGTATTGCTATTAGTGCAACCCAAGGTCACATTTAATGAGATGCAGCAATTCCATATCCTGGGTTGCATTTAACTCAAATAACTCAGTTTTTCCCCCCCCTCAATCAGGCCAACCTTTTCTATGTTTTCTTGCATTTTTTTCCAGTACTGGGGATTGAACCCAGGAATGCTCTATCACTGAGTTACATCCTCAATTCTTTTTATTTATTTTTTAAATTTTTTTAAGACAGGTCTCACTAAATTACCCAGGTTGATCTTGAACTTAGAATCTTCCTCCCTCAACCTCCTAAATAGCTAGGGTTGTGGGTGTGAGCACCATGCCCCTCTGCAAATTTTGAATATGAGAGGCAGGTTTGGTATATATATATTTGTCAAATCTTTTGTTACTATTTTGTGAAAAAAGGTGGATTTGCAGGTGGACATAGAATATAATTGGATGGGTAAGAGTAGTGAGATTGTGGACAACTGTTCCTTACTTTCAAAATTATTTCATTTGTGGTTGTCACAATGTTATTATATAAGAAATTAAAAATGGTAAAGAAAAAATAGACTTTTTAGTTTTGGTCCCTCCTTCAGCATGTTCAAAGCTTTTTGATTCTTGAATCCATCCCTCCAGCACAGCAGTTTCCCTTTCCAGCTTTGTGTCATGTGCAAATAGAAAGGCTGCCATATCTTCTTCCAAGATGCTGGTGTCTCAGGTGGACAGTCACAGAAGGTGGAGACAGGGCAAACAGCTCCATGTAATTTCACATAGGGGTTTGTGTACAGAGTGTATGCAGTGCTCAGTAGTAATAAGTGAGTGGTTGAGAATGACACAGTTGGAACCCATTGCCAACCCAGGGCTGGTTCTGAGGTGCTGGTTATAGATCCTGGTTGGAGCATTTCAATAGATATTTACTCAGAACATGACTCATGCTGGGCACTCTGCTAGGTTCTGGGGCCATAATGATGCATAAGAAATGGCACTTTTCCTCAATTACTCAAATTGGTGGCCTGGCCTTGTCTGTGAGTTACCTCTATGAACAGAGAACCTTCATCATGCAGGCAGAAGGGCAGCAGAATACAACAGACACTAGTATGGCAGTATGTAAAAACGTGGATGTGTAACCGATGTGATTCTGCAATCTGTATACGGGGTAAAAATTGGGGTTCATAACCCACTTGAATCAAATGTATGAGATATGATATGTCAAGAGCTTTGTAATGTTTTGAACATCTAATAATAAAAAATTTAAAAAAGTAAACAGATTCAGAGGAAGAGCTTTTGCTTGGAGGATATCATTATGGAAAAGAGTGACAATTTATTTCCAGGAGCACATCTCACTATATCTCATGTCTGAAACTTTATTTTGTGGGGGCCATCAGGTTGACCTCAAACTCTCAATCCTGCAGCCTCAATCTCCCAAGTAGCTGGGATTATAGGCATGCACCACTAAGCTTGAATCCCATACCTAAATCTTCTCACTGAAATTCCACCTTCTTCCAAGATCTCTCTCTTGTTTTATTTAAAGGAGAAATACTAAAGGGTGCAGGTGAGGGGCACTACATCCTACAGTTTCCTTATGGAAAAACCTCAAGTAGTTCTAGGACTTCATAGCCCAGACTTATTTCTCTGGCTTGATTCTTGGAGTCCTGGATTCTCTGGCCATTCTTTCTTAACCAGGATTATTTCTTTCTCTGCTATATTTCAGATATATCAATCTCTGTGCTGTCATGGGGCCTCCATGCTTTCCCCACCTTGCCTTTGCTCAGATTGCTCCCCTTCTTTGTCATGTCCTCTGTGTCAGTTAGTATTCTGTTACCATAGCAAAATACCTGAGACAATCGACTATAAGTTTATTTTGGCCCCATGTTTCGGAGATTCCACTTTATGGTTGGTTGGCCCCTTTGCTTTGGGCCTATGGTAAGGCAGAACACCATGGTGGGAGTGCATGGTGGAACAACACCACTCACCTGATGACAGGGCAGCAGAAGACAAGGAGAAAGAAACCACAGTCCCACAATATCTTCAAGGACTTCCAGTGACCTAAAAGCCTCCCACTAGTCCTCATCTCTTAGAGCTTCTACACCTCACATAGTCCCACATTGGAAACCAAGCCTTTAACACACGGACCGTTGGTTTGCAGGGGCAGTCAACATTCAAACTTTCTCTACCAGCATCCCTTTGCCTCCCTTTCTCCAGCCAAGTCCTCCTACCCAGTCTTCTAAGGTCCTACTTATTCTACTTCCCCATAAAAATTCTCTTGATGGCTTCAATTCCCACCAACTTCATTTCTCTACAGAGAGAGAAAGAGACAATTGTCTCTATCGTGCAGTTTAGCACAGCTTCTATTTTTTTATTTAAAGAGATTCCTTTATTTTTTTAAATGGCCTTTATTTTTATCATTTATTTCTATTCGGTGCTGAGAATCGAACCCAGTGCCTCACACATGTCAGGCAAGTGCGCTACTGCTGAGCCACAGCCCAGTCCCGACAGCTTCTATTTTTATATTTTATGTTTTGGTACAGGGGATCTAACCCACGGATACCTTACCACTGAGCATCTTTACCCTTTACCACTTTACCTTTTGTCCTTTTTAATTTTTTTTTACTTTGAGACAGGGTGTCACTAAGTTGCTGAGGCTGACCTTGAACGTGTAATCATCCTCTTCAACCTCCCAACCCACTGGGATTATAGGCTTGTG